AAAATTACATGTGTTAAACTCTTATATAATTTTGAAAAAAACAATAAATTATAAAATATCATTCACCTTTTAATTTTTAAGAAATTATAAATTCAAACACACAAATGAAAATTCAAAGTTAATACTATTATTATAAAATCGTGCACTTTTTCTTTCCGTGTGTTTTTTTGAAAAATCTTTTCTTCTTACTCGGACTTTCTTTTTTATTCAGAAAAATTCTCACGGCTTCTTCAAATAGTAGACTGAGATTTTTCTGAGTGAGTGCTGAGCACTCGATGTATTTTACAGCCTCTATCTTTTTCGCCATTTCTTCTGCACTTTGTTGACTCACAAAATTTCGTCCTTCATTTTTCAATTCTTCAAAAGATAGTGCATTTTCTCTCAAGTCACATTTTGTGCCTACCAAAATACATGGAGTGTCCGGACAATACTGAACGACTTCTTTTTTCCATTTACATTCTATGTTATCCAAAGAGTTTGCCGAATTTACTGCAAAACACAAAAGAAAAACACTTGCATTTGAATATGACACAGGTCGTAATTTATCATATTCTTCTTGACCAGCCGTGTCTAAAAGAGACAAATTTATATCAGTGTTGTCAACCGTCATTGCTGTGTTGTAATTCTCAAATACAGTTGGGACATATGTCTCTGGAAATACATGAGATGTATAACTCATTAAAATGCACGTCTTACCAACTGCTCCATCACCAACAACAACAATTTTCACCACTTTCATATGTGTTTTTTAGTTTAAGGTGGTTTTTCGTTATTTATCAAAAATAATATTACGACATATGTTAAAGAAACGTGTATTATATAAAATGTTTTGCAAATTATTATTTGATGTAAACAATATAACAATAGAACTTTTTTGTTAAAATGTGGAAAGTAGTTTGGGTAATTATGAAAAAATCAAATTTTGTGAAACTAAAACCATTTTTTTTGTTTTCAACCTTTACATATTATATTAATCTTATGACAGTTTATTAAAACGACTCTATTTTCACAAAACAATATCATTCAAATAATATTAAAACAATGTAATATTACTGAACTATTATTATTGTATCAAACAAAAATTAACTTCAAAATTGACTTCAACATAATTTATTAATTTGGTTTAATTTTCAATATTTTTATAATTTGTTTTCATTTTGACAAAATTCAAATTAAAAAATTAAATTTATCAATAATTAGTTTATTGAATATAAGACTGGCCAACCGATGACCATTATTTTCAATTATGCCGAATTTTTAAAGCAACGTTCCTTTTTGCCGAAACCAAAGTTGACCACACATATAACCGACTTTTGCTTTTACAAATAAATTATATAAAACTAATTATTATTTGGAAGCGATAAACAAAAGTTAAATAACATTTTATTTATTTCAAATTTTAAAAAATTAACGTTTTTGGGAACACATGATTATTAAATATTATTTTTTTAAATAATATTTTTTGATATTCAAAAAATATAAATCCGTATGAACCAAAAACAATATAAATTTACCAAAAATATATTCTTTAAAAGTAATCGTCTTTTAAAAATTATGTGATTTATAAATTATTTTCAATAATCATTTTCATTAATATTATCTAAATTGAATATAACAATTGGTTTTACAACATTATTAAATACACAATTATTGTGCAGTCAATTAATTACAATGTTATAACAGTAAAAATGTATAATGAATATGGTTTGTAACTTTTATTTCAAAAATATAAATTAAAAGCTTGTCAATTTAAAATATAACGTTATGTTTATTTTTCGTAACTGTTAACCATTTATATGTTTAAATCGTTGTTCATTCTCAAAATAACGTTTCAATTAAAACATATGCAATGTGATTATAACTAATGAATAATAACTTGCAAATTTTATTCTTTTTATAATTTGGGTTAAATTATCATGATTTACAATTCACACATATTGTTTTAATCATGATTTACAATTCATCTTATGTTACAATTGTTTATTAT